AACAATTCTACAAACTATACTTCTTAATTCTCAAAAGATCATTAAAAGTTACATTTTTTATAATGAGAAAATAAATATTCTAAGTACTAATGATTCCATGTAATAATATCCAGTTCCTCCTCTCAATTGCGGACTGAAAACCATTGATACTTCCCTATAAAATGATGATTTTAGATTTTTTCCAAAGGTTTTAGTTAAAGCCAGGGATACAGAAAGTATGTGAGACAGCCCTGAGGAAAGTGGAAGAAACAATGACTTAAATAGCAACAACAGTTCCTATTACTTCAACATTAGTCTGAGGACTTAAAAAAAGTAGCACAGATTTCTGCACGGCCCAGCTTTTATGGCATTTATCTACTTGCAATTATAAATGAATACAAATACGAAGAGGGATCAATTTTACCTGTGGCTTGTAAACAGCCAGTGGCACTGCTCCAATCAAAACGATGATGAAGCCTATTAATGTTCCTATGAAAAACTATAGACGGAGTTCATTAGACACGAGCACTTGAAACATTTTTATGAAATGATTGTAGCGACTTCCAAGTCCAAGTTTCACCCATCCATTTTCTAACCACTTCTTACCAGTTCATCGCAGGGCAGAGAGACATAAACACAGATTTGCATACAGTCATACAAGTGCCAGTTTTCCCCAAAGCCAATTAACCTTCCACTAGGTGTTGCAAACATGGGGAGAACATACAAATTCAATGCAGATACTGTAGCACCCCAGGTCCATCTGTGTGAGGCAGAAATGCTAACCACTGCACCACCTTTCTGCATTAAATCAGAATAATTTATTATAAAACACACCGGAAGAACCTTAAAACTATTTCCTTTACATAAAAGGCAATAACACCTATATCAAGTCGATTCTTCCAAATATTCCCAAATTATGCCACTGCTATTTCTTATTAGATATTCACCAGGAATATGATGAAATATAATGAATTCAATAGTATAGAGAGTTAAAAGTTTGATTTGCAGTGATGCAAACAGGAAGAACACAATATTACCAAATAAGATTTACTCTTGTATCTCATGCTTTGAAATCATACAATTCAAGAAACAGACATTTCTTAACCTCAGGGTGCACATTTTGTGCATGTTAATTAATTTGAAGACACATACCACTAGGAGTGCCCACTTCTTTTCTTTATAAGCGCCAAATACTCCAAGAAAAGAAATCCCCATGGTTACGGCAGCAACTACCAACAATAACAGTCTCCCACGAGTGACGTCTTTTCCATCCACCTACAAGAAACAAAAAAATAATTCATTAAAAACACTGGATGTCTGCTAATACTAGTTTGCACCCAACCTCTCAATCCTGCAGCTCAGAATACAAAACAGAAGGCACTGTGAACAAGAAACAACTAAAATCAAGGAAGTAAAGAAGAAAACAGACAGCGCACCATGTTGTGATGCTCACAATGAAGAGAGTTCCTCCTATTTAGTAAGCCACATGCTACCTTTTTTGTACTCTAATTTTCATTTTTCAGAACATAAACCACATGCAGAGCTACTGTGTGCACTTCCTAGGTTCACCTTAGAAATTTCCACAAGTATGTTGCAAAGGCTTTAATACAGAGGTGTTATAAGCTCTTTCTAAATTGTAAAATTCTTACAACCCCTTGGAAAAAACATTATTTTCATCGGAATTCAGAATAACCTAAAAGCATGCGTAATGTACCCATCTGAAGGCCAATGTATCACAACTAAGAGACATGAATAGTGTACAGTACTTAACATCATTTCTGCTCTGGCCTAAAATGACAGATTCTTAGCAGTGATGTAGTTAGATTTGTAGATTTTGAGATAAACACACTAAAAAAAAAATACATTTCCTAAACTGTTTGAAATTTGGATGATAACACAGCACTTTTAATGGGCTCCAATATATATAAAATAAACAAGCAAACAGAGGCTAATAGGATAAAAATCCCAACACGTCAACCACTCTGAAGCTACTGAGCAGGTCTTCACAGTAAGATCATGTCAGACCTAACAGTCAGGGTCTGCTTATTAGCTGAATAGGAGATTTTTAATGTGGGTCTTGTTACTGGTTAGAGTGGGGCAGAAACCTTCCTCTACTCTTCCCACCAGACCAGAAACTCCAAACTAACAAACAATATGCTCTTAGGAGACACTGTGCATATGGAGGTGCCATTCTTTGGATGAGATACAGATTTGAGATTCTGACTGCTTATGGTAATTAAAAAAAGGTCAAAGGCCTTTTTTAAGAGTAAGACTATCAACTGATCTGGACAAATTTCAATTCAGAAATTCCCAATGTGACCACACCCTCCCCTTTACTTACGGGGCGGAGTGGTGGCTCTGTGCCTGTGGCTGGAAGGTTACCAGTTCAAATCCTGCAGACGGCAGAGGAACTCTGTTGGGCCCCTGAGCAACGTCCTTAACCCCAACTGCTCCAAGGGCGCTGTACAATGGCTGACCCTGCGCTCTGACCCCAAACTTCTCTCCCTGTCTGTGTGTCTCATGGAGAAAAAGCTGGGGTATGCAAAAAGACGAATTCCTAATGCAAGAAATTGTATATGGCTAATAAAGGGATTTTATCTTATCTTACTCTTCAGCTTTATGAAGTTTTTTTACCCAGTCTAATTTTACCTTTTCAACTTCAGGGTAGAATCTTGTTGCAAGTAGCACAAGTCCAAATATGATGCATCCACAAACCTGAAAGACAAGACAGGGCAACTTCACTAGTCAGGACAAATTTAAAAGTAGTGCCTTTTTAAATGCAGCAGGTCAAGGAAACGTTGCACATGAAGCAAATTTCCCGGTTTTTACTTTCTCCCTTTAAGAAAACACCTCACAGGAAACACTTTGCAGAGTTAAGGTTTCTCTTTTACACTTGAATCTTCTTATATTTTTAGTAGCAAGAGATTAACTTCACATATCAGTATTTCTGATCTTCAAAGTCAGATAATGTGAGAGAGTTTGTGCTGGAGTCTCATTGGAGCACTCCAGCTGCCTCTTTCTCTTATATTTAGTTTAATGAGGGAGCTAAAAAGAGAAGAAACATTAAAAAATGTCCAAACCATTCTTGGGAGATAAGTAAGACAACCTTTTTTGGGATGGTAGAGTAAAAAGTTAGGTCACCAACACAGCATAAATAAAACTCCACACACACTCTCAAAAGGTGCCCATCTTATCTTCTGACAACAATGAAATTGCACAGGAAGTGGTTTCCTCCTCTCCAGATCAAACTACAGAAACCTTTAAAGTAATCTGAGCACTGAAGATAATCTCAAAATTTAAAAAAGGGACTGTAGTCTTTTAGCTATGAAAATATTTTTTTTCCTTTCTGGTTATTCTTTCGGCAAAACAAATCTCTTATTTTATTTTATACACTCTTTGGCATAAGGAGTAAACTAAAATCTATTTAGTCCCGAGTATGATCGTATATTTTATGAGAAAATGATAAATGAGTCTTATTTGTAAGGTTATGGTTCAAGTGAGGAACTCCGAAAGCATGCATTGGTTACAAAGGGCCAATGTAAAGGTTAATTCCACATTGAAATGTAGAAAGAAGAAACAACATTTTGACTGTTCACATTTCTTCACGTTTCACTTTTTTGCAAGATTAAGATCCATTTCTGTGCTCTGGAAAAGACGGACCCACAAAACTCAATTTTGTGAAACAGCAGTAGGAGACATTTGTGTCTTTCTATAACTCCTTAATGTATGGATACATTAAAAACATGATATGGGGATATTCACGCTATGATTTCAGAAGTTTCACACATACTGTAGATAAAGTCATTTGACTGGTCGTGTAATACAATGTGATAAAATGCAAGGTGATTTACATTATATTTGAATTTGGACCTGAAACTGACTCTGGGTGGGGTTGTGGGCTCTAATACTGTATGCACGTCCCCTTAAATTGCATTAGTTTATGAATGTGAACTTGGTGCTTTGGAGGATGTGCTTTGCCAGTTGGATTGTGTCAAAGCTCGGCCTTCTTTGCTCTATAAAGATAATTAAATTAACCTTTGAAAGTCACATTGTTAAAAGTATCTATATCTTGTCCAGTGTTTGGGATTTTGCAGTTTCATCTTTCTACAAACACGAGTGTTGATTTTAAATGCCTTTAAAGTGTTTTGTAGTTTGCAATTCACATGGAAACATTTCGGTTCGAATGTTTATTTTTCGTTTGTTGCTTTGAAGTCGCAACTTATCATCATCATTGTTGTTCTTAACTATTAAAACCGCTGGATTTCAGCACCGGTAGTCAAAAGTGCACATACAGTACTGTACTGTACCTATTCCATGATAATATTCCTCTCACATTAGCTAGAGCAAACAAGTTTCACATGTCGTCGCACCTGTCCACATTCACTTTCATTTTTATCAGCACTTCTCTGAGTACTTTCATATTTACTTATGATTCAGTATCCAAATTACTTTTTTGTTTCCACGTTGATCATCACAGAGTTGAATAAAGTTAAAGTATAATTGGATCAGTTCAAACGGTTTAGGTAACGTTGGACAGGATAATCGTTAACATTTAGAGATGGTAAGAAACAAAGATATCACGTGATATTGCAAGGAACGATCCATGAGTAATGATGATTATAAATACAATTTTCAAATTATATTCTCAATGTGATAAACAGCTCAATGCAGAAAATAAACTAAATCTTCCCCTTTGAAATGCGACATTAGAAATGAACTATTAATTTGTGTTCCATACGCACACTTTTTTTGGCGTTTGTTGTAGTTTCTTTTCAACACTGTAAACAAGTTGAGCGCTGAGGCTCTTTTTATCAAGCACCGGGGTTCTCCCTGCTTTATTGTCAAGTCTTTATACATTATTAAAAGGTTAAGAACTACGTCGCATTTTTAACAAATTAGCCAAATAAACCCCAAACCATGGCGGAGTACCTCCAAAGCTAAATTTTAGAGACTAAACGGGCCGTTGGTTCTGCGTAAGCTCTAATACATACTGTAACACAAACATTATTTTACATTACATGGTCATGATCTTTAATTTTGATAACTGAACTACCTTACCCAGAAAAAGACGTTGAAGATGATCAGCAAACTTTTCAAATAAATGCTGACTTTCGCCATTTTTTTTCCAAGAGCTGGAAAAGTATATCTTTAAAGGTTTCGCTGTGGTGTTTTTCCAAAGTTTTGCTTCTTCGCTGCGAGGAGTGAAACAAGAATTCTAGTGATCAGAGGATTATCGAGGAACTGTAGTCTGACTTGTTGCTTCAATGTGGGCGGTACTACTAGTACATTTCGTGCGTACTCGCTGTCCCTGTGATATCAATGTTTTAGTCTAATTTGTGCGAGGCTGTTGTAGTGCTTTGTGTGGATTTACCAAATATAAGATACTTCAAATTCAGATTTAAAAGCAACACAATTTGCTTGTTTTAGATATTAAAACGTCGCCAAAACGTTGTAAATCTTTGGACATAAAATATCATTAATGCATGGAAGCCAAGGAAACAAGGAATTACGTAAAAAAAAATGAAGCAAGACGGTGGTCCAGCGTGCAATCACTGAAACATTAAGGCCAGTGTGGATACATCATTACTAAGACATTCTAAAATGTCTTGGTTAGATCTCAAAGAGTCTTACCTTAAAACAACTCGGTTCTTTATACAGTGTGTGATGTTAATGCGTTAAGTAACACAAGATTACTGTAGCTAACATATTTTATACACGAATCAAATGTAGGTGATTGTCGGTAAAATTAGGTAGCTCATCTGGGAGGGTGATCTTCTACCGTTAATACGGGTTCCAAGAGTGTAGCTCGTTTTTCCATTTTTATTTTTTGTTCCTCCCGGTTTCGGTCCGAACGCATGATGATACGTGTTTCAGCAAAAACTGGCTACTCGACATATTGCACATGATAACATAATTAACATATTGTAACGCTACGGGGTTCAGGTGGTCGCACTTGCTGCATTAGGTTGGCTCGAACCCGGGATTCCCGCGTCACTCAACAAGGACCCAGCCCGTTGAGCTAAAGAGAGACCTTTTTACAACCCAGTAGCTGTAGTCTTGCTATCACAGGGAAGGGCGGCGACGTCACCGCTCTGGTAAGCCGGCTCTTACACACCCTGATGGCCGTATGCGTTACAATATTAACAGTGTTAAGTAAGACATTTTGATTAACCCATATCATATTTAATGTTCATGTATGTAATAGAGATCATGCCAATTTTATTTATCCACGTAACTGCTTCATAATACATTTAAACATACAGTAACAGCTTGCATATTTTGTAAATTTTACTTGTTGTAACATAAAGTACTTAGCAATTAATGGTGCCATGCTATTCAAATACATTAGGTGATGATGATGATGTTATCCGGTCAGTCGGATCCGACTCTCGGCGATTCTATAGGCCATCTCTCGCCAAGCTTTCCGGTCTTGGACTTTCCCTTTCAGCTGTTCTATGCCTAAGCCAGTGTCCGTTTTGATGGCGTCGAGCCAGATATGTGTACATTAATTATAACCACTTGGAACGATCAGAGACTTTTACATGTAAATTTATTGTCATTTAATATTATTATGGGTTTTCACAAATTATGAGAAGTTTTGTAACCAATTGTGCTCCTATATATTTCTATAAAGATGTTAAACACTATTTGCTTGTGTGCCAAATGCACCAGAGAAGTAAGACAACTGTGCACAATGTCGCACAGCTTTGATCTCATTCCAGGCACTAGCCCACTTTGATGTCTAGTAGTAGACACCAGCAATATCACATTAGTCTATATATGCAAATATATATTGTGGGTGTGCAAAGCATGCTTTTGTACAGAGGTGTTAGACTCCACAAAGAAAACCACACAGTTCTGTTCAGCTCGTGATGTTGTCTGTATTGCCATAGGGAAAGGAAGGCAGATGACATTAACAGGTATCTTTCACTCACTTTTTCAAACAGAACAACAGGCTTTTTATTCTTGAAGATGAGCAAACTTTACATACAAAAACATTTGTATGATTGATTACTAACAGTTTGTTTAAGGTGTAAACAAGGTCAGATTCAGAGAGTTAGCTCAGGTCAGCCCTGGCGATAAAACCAAGACCCCTGTTCCCTTCATATTGCTAAATCTGAGCAAAGGTTACATGAATTACTTTTTTTTTTTGCTCAATCTAAATGTAGGATATATGAATTACATCACCATTTGAGAGACCTTGGTCAGCCAGGAATGTGCAAAACAATAAAACAATTCTTAAAGACTTCATTGCTAACTCATAACAGGGCATACAGTAGGTTCCTTCCGGTGATGGCAAAATATTAACTCTTGTTGATGTGTGTGTTTGCATGTTTATTGATAGTGCTCTTTGCATCAATTCCACTTGTTTTGGGACCACTCAGTCACTTTCAATTCCAGCACGCAATGCTCAATTCAGTGCCAAATATGCAAATGTACTTTTTTTCACTGGCTTCTCTAAAAATATTTTCCTCCTCAGCAGTGAGTGGCACACCACGTGTACCTTCTCTCTGAGTGCATGGGTGCATATGTGTATCACAGCATTAATACTAAGTCTCATGTACAGTACAGTATGTAAATCATGCAGGAATGGTATTCCAAGATTCCACCAATTTACTTAAACAGAAGCAAGCTTTGTCTAGCTTGCTAGAATTCTTTTAGCATTAGATAACACTAAAGAATATGACATCTCTTGATCTTGATATGATCTCTTTAGATTTCCAGAAGGATAATGATTCTTAAATTAATACCTACAGAGAAATCTATAGCTGTCTGCTACATGTCTGTGTGTGCAAAAAAAACACGTCTGAGTATGCGCAGTGATATTGTGATGTCCTGTCCTGAGCCTGTTGCTTGCTGGGATAGGCTCTGGCTCCCCCATGACCCTGAATTGCATGAAGTGGTTAGCCCCATGATGACTCTCTTAAATGTCCTTGTTTTCTATTCTTCTTGTTTAGCTCTATCATGTTCAAAATTTTACCAGTAACAGAAGTAAGATGCGCCAGATCTGCAGCTCAGTTCTGTCCCATTTTTTTTTTGACTGGTGTTACTGAAAATGTACAATTTTCCAAGGTTCTGACAATTTTCATGTACACAAAAGAGGGATTACATTAATGCTACCACATGTCATTTATGTTAAGGTCTCAGCCCTTTCTCTTATATTTATGAGGACAAACCAGTCCATTGGAGTCAGATCAAGCACTAATTGCAACAATGGCAGTACATTAATATCATTAATTGGTAGAAGTGAGACAATTAAACTATTTAGTTCAAGTAGGTCCTGTAGCTGCGTCAGCATGCGTCGGCTGCAAAGGAACAAGTTAAAGATTTATTCCCTGCTGAAAAGAGAAGAAAGGAAACACCACGTTTCAGCTGTGGAGCCTTCTTCTAGTAACAGAATTAAACTATATTTTTTTCACTACTTTATGTATATGATTGTGTGAGCAGGTATAGGATCACTTAAATAATAGTTATTTTAAAATATAATTATTATTCTACTAATAATTTAATGTTTATACAATGACATAATTACAACTCTAATATCTCTCACGCTGTAATATCTTAGTTGGTGTTGAAAAGATTTAATTATTGTTTATAGTTTAAACAGAATGCAGCTGTGAGTAATGTTTATGTCGACTAATTCCTACTGTTTTAATCATGATCTGTATTGTGCAATGTTAGAAATGCAGAGGGTAGCCATTTGGTGGTGCAAACATTCATTGTGCCCTCTCGGCTTTTTAAACTAAAAAATGCTCAATAATAAAGGTGTGAAAAATCTTCTTGTTCTTTAGGGAGTGTGCAAACCTGATGAGTGTGCAAACAAATTATGTCCCTCAGTTTATGTGCAATTTGTAATAATCGTTGTGCAATGATAAGATTATGTTTATTACTATTTCAGTAAAGTTTTGACAGTTTCAGTACTGTATTGTATGTATAAGAGAAACCACAGTATCAGTAGAATGTGGAAGAGCAGGTGTTCTTACAAGGGGGTCAGCACTTGTCATGTTGGTTACACTAAATCAATATGGTGTGAAGGGATGTGGTCTGCTTTAGAATTGCCACAGCATGCAATTTACAGGAACTTCATGTTTTGTAACGTGTCTTGTAACTATTAGCTTTTGTGTCTCCTACTAGTTTATAATTGAATATAAATGAAAGCTGAGATTTGATAGTAATTCTCAGAAACTGTACAGTATATACCATGATAGACTGGCAATAATTATTTTTATTCAATAAACTAAAGACCCAAATACTATACACCCAGATAGACTGAGATACTACATTGTTACAGAATAGGTGGGTTTGGGAAAATAGAAACAGGAAATACAAGCGTTGGAATATACAGTATAGCTAGGTGTGCATAACTTAAATGAAGCAATAATTGCAATTTTTAAGACCTAATTTAAAATATTGTATTATTGTTCTCATCTCCAATTTAAAAACTCAGGGCAACAAAGAGTGATAAGGTACATACCTGTACCTAAAATAAGACCCTACACCTACAATCTAAAAGAGTTGGATCTTGTCTGGATCTGATTTCAACAGAGCAGGCTGATCTAGGTACAGGATTTAGAATCTTTGAGAACCTGATGGACTTCCCCAGGATCCACAGTGAAAAACACATCCCAGAGGACACAAATAGAAACTAAAGGGAAATGTGTTTAAAACGGATAATGGAATTCAGATATTGGAGTCTGTAAAAAGCTGCTCAGTCACATTAGTGAAGCAGATAGCCTAAACCAATTCATTATGGGCATCCACACAAGCTGGATGTGTCTAATGGATTCTTCTCTTTTGTAACTCTCTTTATGTTATTGAGATTTACAGTACGTCTCAACATTCAAGACTTATTTTTAACTTGCTAGACTCTGACCTTTATACATTTTATATACTTAGAGTATGTACTCTAAATATGCAAAAAAGGATTTTACAATTTTGGAATAATCTGGATTTTTGCAGAGATCAGTCAACTTACATCCTGAAAAAGTCAAAGAGTTGAGCTAAAATTACAGAAGAAGCAGAAAACATTTTAATTAAGAGATGCCCATTATCTACAGTATACGCTTATGGCAGTGATGGAAAGCAATATTACAGAGGGTTTGATCATCATCAATCATCATCATCAGCTCGCACTCCTGTTTATGTAACTGCTACTGTATAAAGCTTATTTTTGTTCTCTCAGAAGTAATTTTATTATCCTCCCTTATCGAATTTCTCACCCATAATTAAATGTCAGCAAGTGGTAGACTTCCATGATGAAAACATTGCACAAAATTACTTTTTTTTCATTCATTTAACTGGAAATATGCATTTGCTCATATATTATTGCACTCCTCATGTTTAACAGAAAGATTTATGAGTGTAAAAAATTATCTATATAAAAGGTTGGTTCTTTTTCAAGGGAGGGAGGCTGTCATGGAGCACTGCCACCTTGCTCCAACTCGGACTAATCTTACGGCTGCGTCTTTCAGTATCTCATGTGGCAAGCAGTCCCGGAAGGTGAGGAAGAATGCCCAGGCCCAGAGTAGGAATGTATTGATTTGACAAAACATTTCAAACATCCTCTATGAAATACGTGAAACAAAGCTAAAAGTACTAGTAGCACAAACTGGCATAACTTAATGAAGAAAAAAGCAAAGAGCATTGAAAATATACAGTAAATCCCAAAACAGTTTCACTTGGCCTGTGTGCCAACACTGAATCGTTCATAATAAATGTTATATCAAATCTAAGCACGAAATGGAGGGGAGAACAGACATGTGATTCCTAACTCTTACCCTCAGGAGTACCAGCGATAAACCTTTTAAAATGCCACTTAACCCAGAACCATGGAGCTCTAAAGCACTGGTGTGAAACACCACATCAGTGTGCCACTCCAATATGGTATTGTAGATGTAGGGATGAGAGAACATAAGACAGAGAAATTCTGAAGTTTTTTTCTGACAGCCATATGGAGGAACATAAACTCAATGTTGTCTTTACTCTCAAATACAATTGTCAAGTGTTTTTATAATCCAAGCACAGAGCCAGCTAACGTCATGTCTCACCATAAATGTCAATAAACACAATGACAAGGACAGAAGGTCAAAAGTGGTTTAGGAATATTTTGAACATTAACAGAGTCCATTTTGTGATGTCCATCTGTCTGAGAGAATCAAAAAGTCAGCTAAGCTTGTCAAACAATAGGTGTGATGCCCGAATCAGTTAATACAAAGAAACATTTTCATAGAATTTGCATTTCATGCCATTCCTTTCTCATAAAGTGCTACACCTACAGCACACAGAAGCAATTGGCTTCTCATGATAACACATTCATTGTGACATATAACAATAAAACAAAAAACACAAAGGTAAGCATCCATGAAAGATAAAGCTTGAAAAGAGGTTTGACTAATCTTTTACACTATATAAAATGCCAGGATTCTGAAGTTCTACGCCATTGAACGAAGCTCATTCATTGCAAAGGTAGATTCTTCCTTCAGCTGGCAGATCATGGCCATCGATAGTGCCATCACAACAAACTGGAAAAAACATATGCATTAATAAAATCAAGTTACAAACACCCTCAACATCTGCAAAGAAAATGCTTGAAGGACATATTGTTTTTCACAGATACTGTATCTCTGACTGGTCAATGCCAGCAACAGATAATGGATGAGACTTTGAAAAAGAAAGCAGGCTCTTTTCTATAAGTTATTTTTGTAATGTAGGTTGTGGTTGTTTTAGAACTACAGAGCCAGTGTCACTTCAGTGTTGCTAACAGTGAAAAGAAGTAAAATTCTGAAAATGTTTTACTCATGTGTTAACCTAATGACTGACACTTCTAGCTGTGGGGTAGCTACAAAGAAAATCCAGAACTGCTGCCTAAAGTCCAGGCAACAACTCCAACAGTCATACTGTCAGCACCCCAAGGTTTCACAGGCCAGTACTGGAAGGAAACTTACAGCGTGTGGATTTCCTGCAAGTGAATACTGTAATTCTCCTAGGGCAACTATAAAAGTGCGTGAAGTGGTTTTAAGTTTCACACCTTACATTAAGGAAAGTACAGAGAAATGCATCAAACTGTGACACCTGTCACAGATGTCGGAAAGGACGAACCGTAGAAAGGCAGGTGAGGGAAAAGACCCTATGCCTAGAGGTGGGACGGGGGTTAGCCCGGGCTCCGCTGTTCAGGAAATCCCGTATAGAAACCTATGCCCTCAGGTAGCGGACATGGGGCAGCCAGGTGCTAGGCGGATCTCAGGACATCCGAACGTCAATGCTGAGTGAAGGCAAATGAAAGACCCAGAAATATATAGCACCAGAGACACAGAAACACCAGAAGGACACCAAAGCGCCGGAAACGAGAGACAGAACAGAGAAGGAGCGCCCTCTGGCTGCAGAGGGCGTGACAACACCCATGCAGTGCCGGAATTCCCATTAAGGCACCGTAGGCACAATGCCTAGGGCCTACGAAATTATTAGGGCCTACAAAGCAGGGAAACACTAGTGACTAATGAAAAACGAGCTGAAACAACACACTTGCGATCGACTCTAGGAGCTCTAAATCAATAATTATACACCATCTAGTGGCTGTTCTAGAAACTAGAAGTATTGAAGTGATGGTCGCTCGACTCGCTCCATCAATCACGTGGTTTAGCATTAGAATAGTTTAAAGTGCATCATGTCCATCAACATAATTCAATTGTCGTTTACCCCTCTTCTTTTACATTTCGGAGTAAAAGTGCCTTGGGCCTACAAACACCAAAATACGGCCCTGCACCCATCGCATACATTTAAATGAAGAGCAAACCGACTATGGCTATACTGTATTTGGACTCACAGATACGAGAGCAAGAGCCCCTTAGATCAGGGGTTCTCAAACCTGATTCTGAAAGATCTCAGTGTCCACTTGCTTTTGTTCCAATTGCACCTTTTATCACCAGTGCTAATTAGTGCCTGTAAACAATCTGCTTTGTAGTTTAGACCTTTTGTACACAGTTTTAAACTCATTTAACTTTATTTGCAATTTATTTTTAGTTGTGTAAACTTTGAATTAGCAATTAGTATTTTGATTTGTATTTAATGACAAACACTTATTTTCCCGAAATAAGTTTCCCCAAATTAATTGCACCTCTACAGTATTGATTAAGGAAGAGTTGCATTTATAAGTAGAAGTGTAGAAGCAATTTAACTAAATTTATAAAAATATTTTAAAAAATATTATCTTACCCCAACAGCTGCAAATCCAAAGCTAATTCCAAGGATGAAATTGAAGCCAGTCTCCATAAATCCATACAGGACATTGATACAAGGCTTAAAAAGAAAAAAAAACAGTGGGCACAGTACCCTCTGAATGTTAAACTTACTTGTACTTACATAGGCCAAGAGTTGGCAAAGTTGCTTCTTATATTCTAATATGTTGAAAGTTTTCTATTTAATATTTAATTATTGAAATCAGAAATCAGTCACCAAGCTACAAAATATTTTTTTCTATCATTCCCACATACAGTAGAAACCATGGTGCTAACTAATGGAAATTACAGTACAGTCTAGCTTAAAATACAGTCTAGCTTGCCTACATAATAATTTGAATGATTGAGGAGTCTTCATTTAAGATTATGAAAAAGATAACAATTTTCTTTCTAACTTTTTGTTTTAAAAAGTAAACAGAGTAGTATTAAGTTTCTGTAACAAGGGACAGGTAGGAAGTTTGGATCCTGTGCAGGACTCAGGAGAGAGAGAGAGAGAGATAGAGAGAGAGAGAGAGAATACCAATCCAAATCGCTAGGCAAAACGTAATCCCGGAAACAAGCAAGAAGGTCTGATACCAAGTCGATTGCAATAGTTAATAACGTGCACTTGGGAGCTCGAGAGGAAAAAGGGGAACTGAAATAGTGACGGGAGTGAACAGTGATACAGTAGGTCCATTACAGTACTTGTGGTGTGAGCGTTTGTTAGACACAGTGCGGGTGGGAATGCGAGAAGGGTCAGAGCCGCGTGTGGAATGCGTAACAGTTCCAACCATTTTAATAAGACTTAAGTAAATAAAGACAACTTCTGCCCTTCCATGGCCTATGAGAGTATTCCAGCTAAAAATTCTGGTTTTTAAGTGCTGCCTGATTGAGTAATCTCCTTTCACGCCCCATAACCAGATAAGGTAGGATCAGTTTATTGGCCATATACCATTTCTTGGTATTAGGAATTTATCTTTTTGCATATCCCAACTTGCTCTCCATGAGACGCACAGACAGGGAGAGAAGCTTGGGGTCAGAGCGCAGGGTCAGCCATTTATACAGCACCCCTGGAGCAGTTGGGGGTAAGGGCCTTGCTCAGGGGCCCGACAGAGTAGGATTCCTCTGCCGGTTACGAATCGGCAACCTTTCAGCTACAGGCGCAGATCCTTAGCCACAGAGCCACCGCACCACCATAGAGAGCTATATGTGGATGCTGTTATTTCATATCAAACTTTCTCTTTGGTAAACACCTCTTATGCAATATGGAAATTTCATAAACCTCCCCATAGCCAGCAAGTACCTCTCAGCAAGCACCCACTGCATGACTTGCAGGATGATCCAATGTGTTTAAAGCTACACAACTGTCTCTAATCAATCCAATTCAGGCTACTGGAAACACTGATTAGAATCATGTGTCAGTATTTACAGTACCACCCCTCCATCCATCTGGTTTTTACTTAATTGAAATACTGTACATCCGATCAATTCCCCGTTACCCATTGTCCCTCTATGCATTTGCTCACAAAAAGTTACATGGTTTTACAGTTCCATTTTCCGATGCACAATTTGTCTGCCCTCTCCGTCCCAGCTTTGATGATTTTCCAACCACTGCAGTTCTCTTATTCTGCTCTATTATTGAAGATTGAATATGTAATTAAAAAAGAAAGACACTAAAACTCATATTAAGATTGCAAGTTCCAGAATGCACACAGAAAGATGAATCACAGAATTGTTTTAAGGTGGTCTCACCTTTTTATATACCTTGTTTGAAGAACCCTGCAAAAGATTTCAAACATTAAAGGTAAAAAACTGGCAGAATTTGGACAACAAAGACAGCAGCTGAAATGAACAATAAAGGCATAATTTAGGAACAAGTAATAGGTTTATTCCACACTGAAAAGAGAAGAAAGAAATCACAATTTTTCGGGTGTGACACCCCAAAGAAGGGTCCACAGCAAAAACATTGTGTTTCCTTTCTTTTCTTTTCAGCATGGAATAAACCTATTACTTGTTCCTTTGCAGCCTACGCATGCTGAAGCAGCTAACCAACTGAACTAAAGCCTAATTTATACATGTTTATATTCATGTCATAGTCCAAGGTTTTAAGGTAATGACTATTATGATCTAAACAATCCAATAATTGTATAATTAATATAAAATACTATAATTTCAAATAACATAATAAGATATACAGTACAGTATGATAAGATATAAGATAAGATATTAAATATACAGTATTTTCTTCCCGAACTTCACTAAAAAGTTATTCTCTTCTAGCAAGTAATAGAATACATTTCAGTTTAATTAGCACAGTAATAGGAAACAGCAATACATACATCTAAAGTAATATGATTCTGCCAAGTCAACATTGAGCAGAAATGATTTAACAATATTACTGTATGCATGCCTGTGGAATTTAATGCAATATGACAATAACAGAGTATAGTAATAAGATTTCTAGTGCTATTACCAATATAGCAACACAGTCTGAATTCCAACTCTTGCAGTAACATGACTCAGGAATATGCCCTCCCCAGTCTTGATAACCATTAACAAGACCACAACATTCACTCTGCATTAAAATGAAGAAAAAAAATTAGTTCATGTGTAATAAAGTTTGTTGTCTGAGATATACCTCACAATAAGGCATGTATTCCAATTACAGTATTTCCATCACTGAAAGGATGTTGCAGAGAAGGCATGAAATATATTCTAATGTATGACCTTTAGCATCACTTTACCTGACAGTGAAATTTCTCATGATATTAGTGTAATTTACTGTAAAAAATACAAACTCAGTGTAATGCTTTTATCCTGCAAAAGTAAAAAAATATTTTATACTATATGCTACAAATTATGGAATAAGTTAAGTATATTTATAATGTATATGTCACAAATAAAGGAATGTGTGTACACTTTATTTTGAACATGCAGAATTTAACAGAAGATCCAGAATATTAATACGTACACTCTTCTGCAATTCCTCCACCATATCTCTCATCTCTGATCCTTTTTTATACAGTGGAAGATGCTTTTCAAATTCAGTCTTTAACAAATTAAAAGCCTGCAATAAGAGAAAATAGAAAAAATATATTGACCTGCAGTTACAGTACTGAAACAGTTGGTTTATATAGCTGTAAATTGTCATCTTAAAATACATAATTAGTTTTTTTAAAGTTATATGTCAGAATCATATTTATCCCTTTCATATTACAAACTTTAAGGAAGATTATTAGTATTTTAAATTAAAATCCACTAAACCACACTTCTATTCTACACTTAAATGTAAAGAAATTAATTGTGTTTTATTAAAGTTTTAAATTTTAAATTCATTTTTCTATTATTATGATTATTGGACAAAATAATATATTTTCAGTAAATGGTCTGCTAATTAAATTGCTAATTAAATCATTGTTCAAAGGCAGGGGCCTCTTACACATAAAACACTCCAACTAAGGAATAATATATTCACAACAAGAGGCCTAACAATACACTAAATGCCCCAAAAAATGTATTATAGGGTAAAATATTTGTTTGTTGCATTTTAATGCCACTGGGTAGAATAATAATATTTATTAAAAATAATGAATTTGGTTTGGTATTTCCCAGATGCAACTGGTTTTCAAGAAAATCAAATTATGACTAATATATAAATATGAATCTTAATAAATATGACGTAAAGTCCACTCTTCTCATTAATTACTTTAACCCAGGAAGTTTTTTTCACATAATCAAGTTTATTTTGTTTTATGCACCATTGCTGCGTGCTATGGAGTCATTCATTCCCTCCACCTCAGTGTCAGCTTTGGTGCAGTCTCTTACTTAGAGCCATAGACAAATTGTACAGGTCAGTTAAGTGTTGTACAATGTTCATATTTAAAAGATTATTTTCTAAAACAACAATTCATGTTTGGTATTATTTCAAAATGCATTGCCAATGCATATTCCCAAACAAAGTTTTTTGGTGCAATGATATACAACATCAATTTTTTTTTTATTATTGTATGATGTAAGGGCGATTTGAGTCATCAATACTGACATCTGTTCAATGTTAGGTCTTGTATGATTACAAAAATCTCTTGATAGTTTAGACACAATAGCTGGTTCTAAAATATAATACTGTATTTTGGTTGTCTCAGTTGTGGCTAGTTAAAGGCCTTACTTTTTCCTCCTGCCTAAATGAAAGGTTCCAATTTAGTCTATTATTTTGCTCTCTATGATTACTGTATTTTATTAAGACATTCTGATGTGTTTTATTGAAGTCTTGTCTATACTATGTTTATTTTAGTTATACTGTATATACAGTAGTTACTACTACTACTACTACTACTACTACTACTAATAATAATAATAATAATAATAAAAAACTTTATTGTATATAGCGCCTTTAAAGGTGGCTTCTCAAAGCGCTTTACAGGATGACAATAACAATAAATAAGAAGAATACACAAGATAAGACACAATTACAATATATAGAGGAGATGGTGGTGGATGGTGGTACTAAGAGCAGAGAGGTGAAGAATGGAACCAGCTAAGTAAAGGCTTTTCTGAAGAAGAGGGTTTTGAGTCTGGATTTGAAGGAGTTTAGAGAAGGTGACTCTCTGATATCCTTGGGCAAAGAGTTCCAGAGCTTGGGGGCATAGCAGGAGAAGGCCCTGTCACCCATACAATGTAGACGGGCTTGGGGGACAGTAAGGAGGGCAGAATTGGAAGTGCGAAGGTTGCAAGGTGGGGAGTAGGGCGATAATAGTTCAAAAAGGTACTGAGATGCTAAGCCATGCAGAGCCTTATACTGTAGGTGAGCATGAGGATTTTAAAGTCTACACGGAATTTGACCAGAAGCCAGTGCAAGGACTCCAGGACAGGAGTAATGTGAACACTTGCACTAGACCTGGTCAGGATTCTGGCTGCTGAATTTTGGACATACTGCAGTTTGTTCAGAGTCGATTTAGATACCCCAGTGAGTAGAGCATTACAGTAGTCAATTCGAGAGAATTCAAATTCTCTCGAATTTGTATATGCACTGTATTAAATGAAATGTAAGGAAAACATACAGTACCTGATTCCTTTGTGAAGCAAATAAAAATCCTATAACTAGAAGAGCTATAACACAGACAGCCACTCCAAAAAAATACTGCAGGAAAAAAAAATATAATGAATGCAAACAGAAAAAAACTCTTTCATTATGTTATTTCAGAATGTTACTTTTATTAACAAGCTAAAAAAGGATCTGAGTTACAAAATGTTTAATTTAAAAAATTTCATGTGTTGTGGAAAATTCATGGGTTATTTTTTTCATTCAAGTCATTGAACTTGATCTGAAGAAAATAACTAGCAAATCAAGGATTCATAAAAAACATTAAACTCTTTCCTTTTTGCTTTATTTGGTAGGTATAACTTATATAAAAACATCATTTCAATCAAATTTCATTACATAAAATTTCATTTTTCGTTCTTGGTGCTAATAATTAACCTGTAATTAGTGTATACAGTACAGTACATACCACTTTCAGAATACGTTTGTTCTCTAATTTGGCACCATAGAATCCGAGACACCCAAGAAAGGCAGTGACCACTCCTCCAATAATAAACCCAGTTTTCATATGTGCTATATCTGCAGACTCAACCTAAAAGTCAATTACACCCACAACAGGCATTAGATAAAAATAATTTCTGAATAACATCTTATGCAACTTATCAGAATAATACACTTTATGCTTGAGATAGAGAGCAGACTTTGTTGAGATAATACAAAGTAGAATACTAGCAAATGTTTTTAGAAGTTTCAGTCTTTTTTAGTCTGGCGTTTCCAGAAACAAGTCAAAATAAATGTGTGCGCAAGAAAACAAATAGAACTGGCACATTAGCATTACTGAAAGAGAACATTTGAGCTTTGTGCTTTAGGCACAAAAAAGCAAAAAAGCAAAACGCAGGACTGGTTTGGTTCATTTCTGATTGACCATTCAACCTTATAGAAGGTTAAGAGAAAATAAACTATGCACAGCTGGAATATAAAATAATTAGTAAAGCAGGAATTAGGGCAAAATAACCGCATGCTCTAAAAATAAACCCAGGTCATTTCAAATCAAGTATTTTTAATGTACGTTTAATGATAATTCTATGACAAAAAATGTATTTTATTGAAAATCACCTCCATTCTTAATGAAGCCCAAAATAATCAATGCAATAAGAATGTTATCTTGAATATGTGTTTTTGTGTCTAAAATATGCTTAATCTTTCAACAGTTACCGTAAGTCTGAACCATAACTGAAAATTTTGAAAATAATAAAGTACTACTAATAAATAATAACAGTACTTACATTGTTTTTAGATGTCACTTGCCTCAGTACAAACCAAATACAAGTACACCCAGCAACCTGTGAATAAATACGTGAGTTTTTATTCAGCGCTGAACCATTTATATTATGATAATTACATTGTAAGTGCTCAATATTTTTGGAGCCAATAAATCCCATTTTTGTTTTGAATTTAAATGAGTACTGTATTCATAAATATATGAATAATCACGCTTTAATATACCAATGCATACAGTATATTACCTATACAAACCATATACTGTATTATTTATTGATAACTCCTGCTACTATCTATTATTACATTGATTACTAAATTTATATGTGTGATATGACCATTAAAATATATTTGGAGCAATTAATTCATGTTTGTAGGTGGTGTTTCGTTTCTACTTTACAATTTGCTTAAACTTTGGATGTTTCATTCTTTAGTCATACAGTCACAAAACCTTACTCCTAATTCTATTCAGTTATTGGCATTAGTACATCACATAAAGATATGCCATGTGATATATATATATAACAGCCCAAAAAGCGAAAAACATTTCAGTCAGATTTAAAAAAATTATCAAGATGATGAGTGTTTTGATAATAAAGAAAGAAATTGTTAAATAAAGAAATTGTAATAACACAGTAAGAAGGCTGTACAGTACTTGTCTATTTATTGGAAATTATATACAACTTACCAGCATTAATATATTAATGAAGATGAACAGTCCTCTCAAGCAGGAGTTCACTTTTGCCATTTTTGTTTGGGTAAGTTGGAACTGTTTTTGGAGACAAAATACTGTAGCACTCTTGAAACCTTTCTGAGCTCAAGTAAGGTAAATGAAGAACTTTCATATGAAAAGGGTGGAGCCTGTATAGTACCCCCTACACAGAAATATGCACTGTATGTGCACCAATCAGTGAGAACAGTTTATATAAGCATATCATAACCAGACAAAATTTCAGTTATTGCTTATTATGTGTTCAAATTTTATCCTTTTTCTAAGCTTTTCAGTTAGAGCACTAACTGAACACTTTTACATTTTATCATTTTTCATTCAGTTTATATAATGTATCTTGTTAAATCTGAGAAGTAAAACTGAATCGGCAGAAGGGAACTGGAAACAGGGACTGGCGGTAAGAAATAGACAGAACGAAATGAAACCTATAATGAAAAGTGAAATGAAACTATAAACTGGGAAAAGACTGTAAGACATAAATTGTTGGAATTTGGTGGAGGAAATTTGGGGTTTATAAAATTAATTTATAAATCACATTATGTAACGGAGTAAAGGTCATGACAGACAACACAGCTACAACGTGGGAGAGTCAGGCGGACTTGGAGGGAGAAAATGGGATTTAATTGTGGGGTCAGGATCGTTGCTGTATTTGAAGTCTGTGCTGTGTATAACACCTAAAAGCTGATCAATAATAACCCCCCTTCAGGGGATGAAGGAGAACTCTGCCTCTGTGCCTTATTTCTATCTCATGGAATGGGACCTGACAGTGTGAAGGAGCCAACAGAGGAGAGAGTTCCCACTACATGGGTCATCCTGGTGACTTCCTGGTGGAACCCAAAAGAGTGTGTACGCACCCTCGGCCATATCGACTATCAGTTCAGTTTATTTGTCATATGCACAAGTTCAATGAAATGCTTGTTTGCAGGTATGCTCCAGTACAAAGATACTGTATTAAGGAAACGCCAAAACATAAACACAGAATAACAAACATAGAACATAGAACATAGTCACATAAACAGTTTGAAAAAAAAACTTAATTGTGAGTCAGTGGTAGAGGTAGAGTTCAATCAGTAGCAGAACTGGAGTTCAATCAGCAGTTAAGAGTTCAGGAGCACCTGTTACAAGACCTGAGGTTTCGTCTTTAGCTCTATTAAAAATGGACCCTATGACAACTTTAGTAGGAGCCCACACAAGAATGAGAATTTTGTTTTACTTTATTGAAATAAAAATTTGAATTTATTTCCATTTGCTGTATCATATTTGAATAAAGAACTGCTATTTATAAGGGTACTCTTGTGTTGGTATGTGCTTTAGACATGTGTGGCATGTTAACAAAGGCCCAGTACTTGGATTTCACAAAATCAGCAGTGGCAGCAGTTCCTCATGTGGCTATACATAGTCTGTAGTTTCACAACATAATACGCATTAAACAGCCAAAAATGCCACAACATGGAAAACGATTCCTAAAAAAGGGAAGCTATTATCTGTCCTTTCATAAAAACAGAAATAATAATAATAATTAATAATTGCTTGCACTTATATAGCGCTTTTCTGGACACTCCACTCAAAGCGCTTTACAGGTAATGGGGACTCCCCTCCACCACCACCAATGTGCAGCATCCACCTGGATGATACGACGGCAGCCATAGTGCGCCAGAACGCTCACCACACATCAGCTATCAGTGGGGAGGAGAGCAGAGTAATGAAGCCAATTCATAGATGGAGATTATTAGGAGGCCATGATTGGTAAGGGCCAATGGGAAATTTGGCCAGGACACCGGGGTTACACCCCTACTCTTTTCAAGAAGTGCCCTGGGATTTTTAATGACCACAGAGAGTCAGGACCTCAGGTTTACGTCTCATCCGAAGGACGGCGCCTGTTTACAGTACAGTGTCCCCGTCACTATACTGGGGCATTAGGACCCACATGGACTGCAGGGTGACCGCCCCCTGCTGGCCCCACTAACACCTCTTCCAAAAGAAAAAAATGTATCAAGGTAATTGAATGCTTATAGTTACTGTTGCAACTATGCTGTTGAGAAATAAATGACTATTCTCCTGTATGTTGTTCACTGTATACACTCATCTGTCTCAAAACTATTAACATGATCCAACACAAGTTTTTCAAAACAAATTTTGTACCATATCATGCAGTCATTTGTTTATGAATTTCAAATGGCTTTCAAATCTTCCCCAGGTTTCTTTACGTCTTTGTAATGGTGCATTACTGTAACAGTATAGTCAACTTTACAGCAAGACTGCTAAGATCACACAAGGACATTTTCTCTCAGATGGAGCCTTAAAATTGTACTCCATGAGTACTACAGAGACAAGGCAAACCAAACTTTGGCATCACAAAACAAGGCAAACTGAATAGATTTTATTCCAATATTTAAACCTACACCAAAGTTTCTAGAGGTACCACAGAATGAAGTTAACTATTACAGAATTCATGAGGAAGTCTTAAAACATTTTTAATTTTAAAAATAAAAATTATTATTTTGAGCTTTGTAAAAATAATTTGTGAGCTGGAAAAAGTCTATTATGTACAGTAATTGTTGTAAAATAGACTTGAGATTCTGAAGGTATTTGAAAGTGACAATATAAAGCTGCCAGTAGTGCCCTGTGTTACACACACACACATAGTTCTGTATATGCAGGTCCAGAAGATGTAAATTGTATATACTTTTTGTTACCAGGTTCCAGGAAATCACAAGTTGTAGGCATTCATCAGAATTACCACAAGCTAGATTCAGCCACAGATAAGCCCAGGTACTTTATATGTCAACCCTTACACATGCAAGTTATCCATTAAGAGCAGATTGTCAGGTACAGAGAATAATTTTGGTTGCTGACCTAGAAAAATGTTGACCTAGAAAAATTAGTTAATGTTCAGTATCACCTTCTTAGAAAACAGAAGTGAGTGTAACATGGTGTAGATATGGTGTTCTACTGTATGTACCGAACCCACAGCATTTTACATACTGTAATTATTGAATACAGCATGTATTGTTTTTATGTTTTCACATAATGTTTTGATTATCGCTGTTAAAATAAATGTTTAAATTGAAGCTCATAAATTGAAGGCATCCAAGGAAATGCACATTTCCCAATCCAAGAAACTACAGATAAAGAGGTAATGCTCAGTTTGGTGTAATGTACTCTAATTAGTTGTGTGTAAATCTTTAAGAAGGATCTATAACAGGTACTGTAGCCGTTCTTCCGAATTTAAATCGGCAATCTAGCTTCTGGTACACTTAGTAAACTCGCCATGTTCTAAGATGCTTCTACAATAAGAAGGATTAGTAAACACTTGGTGAGAGAATATTAAAAGAAAAATCTCAAGATTGAACAAACCTCTAGAAAATATAGACAGACCATTATGTGCAGGAAGGAGAAACCGAAGACCAGAAATCATGAGCTTGAGAGCACTACAATGTCTATGTTAAATACTAACCAGAAGACACAAGTGGAAACTAGGGGAAAGTACATTTAAAAACCAAGAAAAGGAAGCATGAGGGAATTATGATGTAAGTAGGTGGCTGAGGCTCTAAGCAGCTAGAGCACAGAGATTGATGATAGAGTAAAAGAGAAACTTTTTTATATACAGTAGGACCTGGAAACTGCAATAAAATCACCTGCACATTTATTTTACGGGGTTTTATGTGTGCAGCTCCCTGGGAATGCCCTAGCCAAGGATGGAATCACTTACAATACAAGTTTGAAACAATAAATGTATTTTCTATTTCCTGCTGTTTCAGATGTTGAAATGATAAAATCGGAATCTGAATGGGCAATGGGCTAAAATGCATCTACAAAAAGGCATGAATGATTCAATTTGCTCTTCTCCCTATCTCTAATTTGAGATTCTGTTTATGGCAGTTCTTAGTGTAACTGGTTTTGTATTCATGAGCAGATCTTGCTAGTTTAAGTGTGATGGTAAATCTGTCAGTTCATAAGCTAATTATACTTTGGAATGAAAGAAAACTTCCAAATAAGAGGAGGCTGTTGGTCCATCTAGCCCATTTGATAGTTAACAGTAAATTGAGCCAAGGATCTCAGCTTCATCAAACTGGATGGGTAGCTTGTTCTATAATCCCTCAAAACGTGAGCTAAAGAAGCTCTTCCTGATTGCAGGAAATTTTAGGGAATCCTTGTGTAATTATAGTTTTAATTCAAGAATAATTTCTTAGTTTTCTGTCAACAAGGAACAGTTCTGCAGTTCTTTGTTAACTGGCTCTGGACACAAGATCTTTTGACTCTCTGAACTGACAGTTAGTTCTGCTTTGAACCTCCTTATCCTACAATCAACTGCAGAAATGAAAGTTCTTGATCACCAGGGTCCGAGGTTCAATCTGAAACTTGCCACAGGGTTCTATTTTGCACTGTTCTGCAAATGCTGGTGCTGATTTATAAAGTGTATTTAAAAATCACCTAGAGTAACAACATCAGAATATGAAGCTGCACACAACAAAAAAAAAATGTGAATCTACCAGAGTTGGTAATATTGATTATATTAATTAAACATTAGCTATGGTTCTTTACAAATAAGTTACAAATAAGGGCTTTCTGAGATTCTCACTTGGTAAAGTCACTCAGTCTAAATACAGCTTCTATGGCACAGATATTGCAAGCTTGAGTCTAACTATCTGTGACCAGGATTCCCCCAAACATGGCTACACAACTCATAATAACAGGAGAAGGCCCTGTCACCCATACAATGTAGACGGGCTTGGGGGACAGGAAGGAGAGCAGAATCAGAAGAGCGAAAGGGAGTAGGGTGATAATAGTTCAGACAACTACCACACAGATGTGGATCATCGTTATTTAAGAAGATTAAGAAGTTGTAACCTTGTTTCATTTCATTATTGTATTTCATTAATATTTCACTATTAAAGATATTGCACAATATTAGTACCGAGTTATTTCAGTACAGGTTAGGCCTTAAAAGACACAGTGGCACAGTGGTTAGCATCTCTGTGTTTTAGAGCTGGGGTGCTCTCTGCATGGAGTCTGTACATTCTTCCCGTGTTCATGTGGGTTTCCTTTGGGTGCTTTGGCTTCCTCCCACAGCACTGTACATGATGGTAGATTAGCTGGCTTCTGGATAAACTGGCCCTGGTGTGAGTAGGTGTGTATCTTGTCTTGTCTGTTGCTTGCCATGAAAGGCTCTGGCTCCCCATAACCTGTATAGAAAACGGGTGGATGGATAATCTTTAAAAGAATAATAGTGTGAAGAGAAGCAGAATTCTCAGACAAAAGTTTGCTTCTATCATTGATAGCCAAGCATAACAAGAAAATAAATCACTTCTTGAAGACAAGTGACAAAACGGAAAGTGGTTTAAAATGATGGGAAACAGAAAAAAGGATTCTCTGATTACTCTGCTCAGTTAGATGCTATCTCCTATGTGGTTTCCTGTTGAAATGGTACAGAATGTTTTGTGATGACAATTACTCTTTTGAACATACTGTTTCACACACAAGCAAAGCTCATATTTTCTATGACACATTGGTTAGAAAGAAAACAGGCTCTAACATATTTGTTTAAACATTCAACAGCCTTCCTCTAGTGTTACTCCAAAAATTGCCCATTTGAATTTCAATCAAATAAAATTCATGTCTGTATCATATGTACTTGTCATTCTATGGCACATAATGTTATCATAACAAAGATATGAGTCCTTATTGATGCATTGATATTTTGGGGATTCTTCTGAGGGTTGTGACAGCTCTGGTTTTCAGCCAAGAAAATTAACACCAAAATATTAGGTACAGTACATATATTTGTTAGTTCATTTCAGTGTAATTAGAATCTTACCAAACTACTGAATTGGTGTTATTAATAGAAGTTCAGAATGAGGCCAAATTCTGATATTACTCTTCTGCTCTGTTTCCCCCTGGCTGCACACAACTCTTCTTTTCTAGTACACTTCCCTTCATCCCACTGTAGCTCCACTGTTGAAGCTGCCTCCCTGGTTGAGTTCTCGTAGGTGAAGGATGTTGTGACAGTTCTGACATTCAACCCAGTGTACTACTGTATTTCCTTACCCAGGTCAGAAGATACCAAAGTAATAAATACACTATCTCTTTATATCCATAAGCTTGTTTCTTCATAATTAGTATTTGGCTGAACTACTAAAAACGTTTCATTGCAGACGCTGTTCAGGATTTGAAATGCCATAAAGACAAACTTTGTGGATATTGATGACTAATGTTCCTTCTCCCATCTCAGCTGCTGAACTTAGACAGCTCGATCTACGCAGTGTCTTGGTGGTATTGTACACATTCCCCTTCTTAATGATCAACATCAGTTAAATTCTCTTCACTAAAAAGAATGTTCTATGTTTTCGATTTGATTATCTGCAAAAAATATGCAATTAAAACAGACCAATAAATCATGTTAGTCTAAGTTAAATGCTTGCATGATATTTCAGAATACATTAATAATACTGAGCATTTAGCATGTTAATAAAATTATTTACTGTATTGTAATTTCCTTAAGAACCAGAATGAGACAAATAATTAAAGATTTGATATACTGTACCATATCATTTTTATTTTTTCATGTTTTTTTTCCAGCATTTAATAGATTCTATCAGCAACATTAGGGTTTAAGTTTATATAAACAAATGTAAACATACAGTACAAAGAAAAGAGAGAACTGGCTTTTTATTTAACTGTCTATCTGACCAAATCTAGAAAGATGGATATTTAAACATCTGTTACAACTGTCTGCATTTGGGCACATCAAAATTAAAAAAATGCAGTACAAATAAAAATATCAAATACCAGTAAAATAAAAATAAAAAGATTAAAAATAGCAGTTCTCTTGGGGCTACCTAAGTGCTCATCCAGTAAAGGCATTTGTTAGGATCTACAGTAGATGGTCTGAGGTCGAGTCATGTCCTTGGTTGACTTTCACTGGGATTCCTCTAGCAGGAATTTGAAATCTGATATATGTAAGAATAGGTACTGTATTTGGTACAAAAGTACCACCTATCTTTCAGTGTAGGTCATACATTTAAAGCACGGAAATGAAGCTATTCTTTTTGAACTGATTTTTGAAAAACTGTTTTTTTTAAAAAGCTTCTTTTTTAACTGATTTCAAAGTAGCAGTGCCTTGTTCTGCACCTTAACCAACAACCTTACAAACATCGCACTATATAACTGTAATGTTTCCCAGACTCAACTCTGAACGTCTTACTAAATATCCTGACACCTCCCTTGTTTATGGATTGCCCATATTTATTTAGATGATGAAACAGATCAGAATACTGAGAATTTAACATAAACACCTGCATCTCCTTAAAACCTGGCTTCATTTAACTTCAGTGTATCCCATCTTAAATTATAGCTATGTTTTGCTACCTGTATGTTATGCTTAGCACTTGTCTAGCACGTTTTTTTTTCCCTTGCTGCTTCAGGCATCTGAAAATATAACTTACTAACTGCCATATACAGTAGATGGTTAATATACTGTAGCTTAGGGAGAAAAGTGGTTGTAAGAGGGATCCCTGCACTCCCCAGTTAGTTACATTATCCCATAATGACCTTTCAGTGTTTACTTGAATTGTATTCTATACAAAGATCAAAGCAAGTGTTTTTTTAATTGGTTAGTCCCAGGAAAACAAAAACAAAAGCAGTCATAAGAACCCAAACCACTGCTCTTCATTTTACAGTGCAGGGAACTAAACCAAAGCCATGACTCTTCTTTGAGCAGTTAATTAAACTTCCTCCTGCATCCCCTGCTACAACACACCAGGCAACTGAAACACAAATACTAAAACTAATATCACACAAAACTCTCTCTCATATTTCACTTCCTCTTCTTTGGTAGCTCAGCTTCCTGTTTATATACCATCACTTGACCAATTGTCTTTCTCTCAACTGGTCAGGTGACTAAGAGAGGCAGGATATTTCCTCAGTCTTGTTGGGAATGTAGTTTAGGCCAGAGCTGCCATCCCATCCCATAATTAACATTGTATTAATGTGGACACCTATCATCTTCAGCTTAGGAATGAACTATCTCTTCTTTTTTGTTTCTTGTGCATGATATGATAAACATATCTCAAACATTATAGTACTTCCCAGCTCTAAAGGTCACCCCAAGTAATACATCCTAACTCAGGGGAAAAAAAGAAAAGGTCTACCTGAGTAATAAATGGGAAAGAGGTGTTCCTATGAATGTTCTAGAAAGAAAATTGCCCAAGTTTTACTAGAACCATGAGGAACTTGAAAAGTTTCCAATACTGCCAGTCTCATTTTGTCTTCATTACCACACATAGGTGTAACTCAAAAAGGCTGCATCACAAATACTTCATATATTTAGATATCGTCATGAGTAATTGCTATTAATCTTCATTTTAATTTTATATGTATACTCTGATAAACACAGAGCTGTCGTCATGTGAAATCAAAACACCACACTATATTCTGCGACATGGCAAAAAATATACTGTATATTTTAATATTCATTACTGTAAACAAATGTCCCTGCTTGCACATTACATACTATTTATTTGATATGCACCTGCAATCCCAGACAACCAAATAACATGGCAATATCTCAGAAAAGTTGCAGTTTAGTACAGAGAGAGATGTTGTGGCCACACAAATTTGTAGATTCCATGATATGTTGCGTAAACATTCTACACAAGGTGATCAAAAAACACAATACTGTCTCACCTTAAAACAAAGCTACAGTTATATTCACTTGTCAGCCTGGGATTCTGTAACGCCACAATTAGTAATGTATATGAAACAGCCCCAGGTTACAAGCTCTAAAAAAACAAATGCACAATAAATGTGCTACTTGTGTACAAGGTTATGCATGACATGGATGTAATGAAATTGTACCCTATAAAGAGCGTGGAAAGAAATTTAACATTTAATGCAAAATACATTTAAAATTTAATGCACAGTAGAAAACAGAGGGAAAAACACAAATGTGTCGAATACTTGCTCACTGTTTTATGGGAATCCATTCTGAAAGAAAAAGTCTTACTGATTTGTATATTTAAATTAAAATCAACATAGGACTTGAGGAAGAAGGGTGCCTGTTCTGCCATGAGAAAACCCAAAAAGACCGAGGTCTCTTTCAGGGTCTAGCCCCCGTCTCATACCCTGTGCTTCCAGAACAGGCTCTGGGTTGTCACATCTTACCAGCGATAAGCGACTTCATGATGAATGTGGATGAGATGTGTCCTGCTTGCAATCACAAAATGGTCATTTGTTTCGTCCTTATGTGAGAGTGGGTTTTAAAAGCGGAAGACTTAAAGGGAACGTGGTTACTAAATTAATCACAGTATTTACTACACGCTCTGTAAGTGTCCATACACAAAATGTGCATAATAATTAAGGAGATGTGTATATTTTAAATACAATATTTAGTTCCGGTCCATTTTCTGAGTGAATTTACTGTAACCCATTTGCAGTAATAGCTTTATCTGTAAAGGGTCATTGCAAGCTGGCTCTCTTGTTTTGCCAAAGGGTATGATGGAACAAGCCGAACAACAGCATCACCATGCCACTCTGTTTGAGTTACGAATTGATCCGTCTTAAAACATCAGACAGCTTTTAGAATGATGAAACAAAACAGAATGTCTTAAATATAACAGTAAATTTTAAAAATAAAGAATTTCATAGGCTTTATTCATGACAGGGCCCCCTTGGGTAACAATTTCAGTAGAGGAACACTTGTGCGCTGTTTGGCATTGTTGGTACTGTTTTCCCCACATCCTGTATGTAAGCTTGCAGCAGGGAATTTATTTCAAAAGCAGTTTATGACGGTGAACGAGAATAGCTGTCATATAGACAAATACAGCACTTTCACATTTCCCTTCCCACATTCAATTAACGGTCTAAATAGCATTTCAAATCGAGCCATTTCTCTATGCAGAATATTCCTTTAGGCTGAATATAACTATTGGCAAATGTAAAAAAAAAAAAGACAAACAGTCTGCAACTTATTTTGCACAGCAGCCCAGCCAATATCGATCTGTACCAGCTTAAGAGCGAAATCAGGTTTCCTGATATTCTAAATAACCTGGCTCTGACAGAATCACTTAAAAACAATCAAATGGAAAAAATCTATGAAAAATGCATTTGCTTAATGCTTCCTAAAACATAATTTCTCTCTCATCACAACCTCTTTTGTTATTCCTTTATTAATCGTTAGGACCAAAAACAATAATTCCAAATCACAAAATACCTGAAATACAAACAAACTGTATATGTGTGGTGCTACAGAAAAGCAAGAATGAAAATTCACATACAAGATTACAAACCATTTAAAATCAAAAACGAGTAATTCAATGGAATTGAAAAAAGTATAACAGGGAATATAATCGAATCCCACTTCCATTAAAACTATCTTCAGATGACAACGTTTTCCACATTTTCAAGTTGTGCTCGCCTCTTTCCTGCCAATTTGACAGAAAAGGATCATCGAGAAGGCCATGCCAAAGATCTGAAGACAAAATAAATAATAATCAAAGCATTAAAAAATAACATTAAAGTTTTATAATACAATACAGTACATTTACATTATGAAAACAACTGGAACTTTTTTGGTGATTATTTTAGCTTTTTTGTTCTCAAATCTTTAACTTCTGAATGAACATTTCTTCTGATTTATCAACACACAAATGAATTATTTTAAAAGATTTCAATGAGGGATTTATCCGTTGTGCTCTTAGATTATGCGTCATCTGCAGAGCTCGAATTCCCCGTTTTACGCTTACAAATCCCAAGTGATGAGTAACTATAAAATGCTTCCTACCATGACGACTGCTATCGCAAAGGCTATGCCAATCACAACAGTCATTTGTTTCTTCATGATGTCACCCACAACTGTGACACAAGGCTATGGAAGCAAAAATAAACATTTACTGTGATTACATTACAGAATAATGTTTACACTGTTCACCTTCATTTGAGAATGTCTACAAACATTTAAGACAATTAAAAAATTGACATAATCAGAGTTTTGTTGTTGGGAGATGTTTTAAAAGAAGGTATGGTATTGTGCTATTAAAGATAATGGATAGACCTCAACAGACCAAAGATTTTGTAAGTAACTGATTTGAATAAAGCAAACGATGAAAGACACAAACTCAAAGTACTGCTAGACCTTATCAGGTCATACCAGGACAGCGGACTGTCTTGTATTGGGATTCGAATTTTGCTGGGAACTGATATGTTGCACAAACCTTTGATTGACTTGTGGGTTTAGAGCACGGTGACTTTCACGACTGTACATGCTAGGAATGCCACATGATATTTGCTGCCCCTACCGTTTGGTACACCAGTCTGGTCTCCGTTTTCACACATGGTGCTGAGGTGTCGGTGCAGTTGCACGAGGCGGGAATACTACTACCCCAGTCGTTCGGACCATTGATCAATCCACAGCATTTGCTCTTCATTAAACGGGAAACAAAAGAAATTAAGAAGTGCCAAGACAAAAGTGAAACATCCCTGAAAGAAGCCAGCTGTTGTTGTGGAAGCAGTATGCAAGGTTGTACTGTCTAGGGAGTCACAAAAGTTTATTAGTTGATACAAAGGATTATTACACTGGAGCAAATGTCTGCACATACAGTAGTTTAAGTGTGACTGTATACAGTATATAATATTGATAGCACAGGGATATTTTTTATTTCATCTTTTAATTTTACCTTTTCTTCTAGGAGCTGAAGATCTGATTGCACATCTTGTGGTTGACTTGACAATGGAAGCATTTTTTCCAAATTTTCTTTGATCCAATCTTTAACCTGAAGCACAAGGGGAAGAACAGACCTGTAAACCTGTAGGCCAGTACTGTCTTTGAGTTGTGGACCTGGATGTTGCGTCTACATTAATAGAGACATCAGGGGTGATGTCACAGAGATCACTGAAGTTTGAACTGTATTAGTTAGAAAGAGCTGCAGTCTGTCTACAAAGTACTGTATATAATTCACTGAACTGGTCTTACTTACTTTGTCTTCACCTACAGCTCCAAGGATTCCAGCTGCCAACAGGAGGATAAATATGAGGAGCAGTCCAATGAAAAACTTAAACACAGAGAGAAGATTATATTTAGACTGTGTTCCACACAGTAAGGGTACAAACACAGCAGGTGACGGCATTCATATCTGTTTTGTGTTTTCTTTCACTTGTTGTTAAATTATTACACACAAGTTTTTGTTGATGGCTCAGATTTCTGTGCGATTTAACATATAACCATTCAATAAAACACCTTCCAAGCAGGTCTATGTGACGATTCCAGCACCAGCATATTGATACTGAACACACCAGATTTATGCAAAGTGGAATAATGTACACTTCATACTAAGCATCTTTGAAGAAATGTCTTCTTTTGGTCAAAACATTCATTCAGTTATTTAGCTATAATATCAAATAATCTTAGTGGACACCACAAATGAAAATGTAATGTAAAATGTGAAATGCAGCATAAAAAAATAATCCTGATAAAAATTAAGTACATCACCTCCATGTTTAGTAAGGCAAAAATTAAGTTAAGATTATTCAGATTAGATAATTACGGGTTGGAGTCTTAAAGTTCAGTTCAAAACTAACTTCTAATAAAAAGTGCCAAATTTATAGTTGTTTAAAAAATGGATATAGAAGGTTATAGGGTAGAGATAAATTCTTGATTGACAGTATGAGTCACTGAATAAATCGAGTGTGAAATAAATCCATTTAGAATTAAAAATAATCTCTTGCAATCTTATTTTAAAGCAATCACATAACTAAGAATAAAAAGTTAAGTATGTGAAATTAAACATTGACATCAATGAAGTGAAAATTTCCCAAGTGGTTATTACACGAACGCCATTCGCCCACCTATTCTACTGTGGTACTGTGGGAACAATGCAGTCAGAAGAAGCCACAATGGAAAAAAGCCAAGCCACGTACTAGCAGAAGCATGCATCTGCTCTCTTGAACTGCACCACAACATCCCAGGAACCCAAGCATCATGACGATGACCCCAACAGCAATCAGTAGATCTATCCCAGGAACAGCCTGCTCGGTAAGCTAGAGAAAGAGAAGGATATAGAAGGATTAATCAAGCCTAGAGCTCTGTTCACACAACTTCAGGTACTGTACCTTTTGCAGCTGCAGCTTGTAGTCTGATCACTTCGGGTCTCAGAAGATAAGTAATGTTAATCCTGGTCTGTGCTGGGAAACCTTTAAAAGTAAACCTGGTTGGGGCTGTAAATGGTATCAGTAAAGCAGTAGGTGGTACTCTTTCCTCTGAACTAACATTTTCAAACCAATGCCCTGGTATGGTGACCAAGGACTCTTTAGGAGGTATTGTGCTTCGGAGGAAATATTAAAATGAGTTCCTTGCTACTTGGACATTCAAAACCCCATGGTGCCATTTGTAAGAGTAGGGATTGAAATGGAAATCTAATACCTGTAAGTTAATTGATTCTTAAAATGTAGAGAGCTTTAGGGAAATATATAACAAGGATTATATATTTGTGTATATATAAATTATAGGAATTATATTTTATACAATTATAATATATTTATATATATATATTATAATCTGTGCTACGTGCAGATTTTTAGAAGACAGTGTATCAACACAATATGTACTGTCTGGGTTATTAGATTAGCCGAAGGTAACTGATAAGCTTTGCAAAAAATATATTGGTGCTTCTTCTTTCGTTTTTATGATGTAATCTGTTTTGTCCTAAGGAAAGCAGAAGCAGCTGGATACTTAGAACAAAGTGTGATAGCACCCAACTCATCAAGGGCATGGGATGTTTTAATAAAGTTTATCTCTGCTGCTTGAAGAAAGGACTATGAGAAACTATTTGAATAACTGCTCTTCTTTGGTTAAAGCAGAAACCTATAAGGAATGGAAAATTACTGCTTTGCCTGTGCTTGAAGTGTAGCATCAGCTTAAAAAAAAGATATATAACAAGAGCTCTCCCTGCTTGCTTTTGAATTAGCTTTCACTTCTCTGCACAGACGGGTGATGGCTTTTTCCCATATTGCAATATGAATAAAGACCTTACTGAGTGAATGAGAATACCTCTCTTGGCACTTCTTTGATAAAATTCCACGACAGGATGTTAACCCCAGAATCCCTTTAACATGCATTTGTACAATCTGGCCTCCATTAATTTTCTCCTTTATTCAATTGATGAAGCAATTCCTTGCTATTCTACATTATATATTATGTGGTGGGGCTGCTGATACATAATGACTGCTATGTGCCTACCGAGTGGGGTTGCACTCCAGAGCTGAGCTGAATGAAGTAGGATCCTTTAGTGACCTGACAGAGTGTTGCAGATCTCTGGTGATCTAGCCACATAGATTATTGTTTGGTTTCAGGATTTGTTATTTTATGTTTCTGCTGTAAAGGACTCCTTTCAAATGAGTCATGAATAAATTGCTTTGATAATGTCAAGACTTTTTTCATAAATATAGTCAACTACCCTTATAGAATATTTCCATACAGCTAGTGCAGTAGAATGCCCCATGTTTGCTATCACAGATTAGATGACAAAACTTGTATTTGCAAAGAAGGAGAGTGTATATGTCAGATATCTTCATCTTTTCAAATGCAAATGGCTTTACACAAAAGAGTCATAAACAAACAGAATAAAAATTACTAGACTGTGGAAACCACTTACAGTATGTGCATAATGGGACATATGTAAATTGATTCCTGCATCACCATGGTGCATCTGCCATGAAGTCTATGGTTGAATGAATGCTGCATTCTACACTGATTCTTCTAATTCATAGAATACATGAATTGCTACAATAGTAGAGGAAGACTGGTCATTAATTCTATGGAGCTTGAGGTCCTCACACTTATGTCCCTAAAAACTTTTTGGGTTTTCTCACAACTCTACCTTTACAAATTGTACTTATTAAATCAATGAGTTACACATAATGTTGTTCTGTGTGATGCAGAGTAGCACTAGTGCAAATCTCTCTCATCCTAGCGTTAATCCCGCATCAGCAGGGGCCGCTTGTCTGCACGCCCCTCTCCATTTGGTGGTTTGAACCAAGACTTTGAGCTGACGTTGTCATTAAATGCAACCGGGAATACTCCAACCGGCGCGTCGCTCCGCCTGCCGTCGGAGTAGGGGGAGGAGAACAAAGTAATGTAGCCAATCCATAGAGGGGGATTATTAGGAGGCATGGGAAATTTGGCCAGGACGCCGGGGTTACACCCCTACTCTTTTCGAGAAACACCCTGGGATTTTTAATGACCACAGAGAGTCAGGACAGCAGCACTAGTGCAAATGAACTGATGAAATGTTTTCACAAAAACATCTCTTCATGTAGACGTCAGACATCTGTGGACTTCAAGTTCAGTGCCCCAGCTGAAACTTTTCAATGTAATTTGAAGGGCTCAGCAAACCAAGGAGAATGTACTAAAAACCGAGGCACAAGAATGAAAAAAAAAAGATTATAAAAGAATGGAAAAGTTAAAAAAATATTCAGACTGAAAGAGGACATCTACAAAAATTACCGCCATACGAAGAAAAAAGTACCTCCTGTATAAACACTGTTTTGCTTTTTCTTGGTCCACAACAGTTGTATTTTCAGTTGTGCTTAACGCTTGATTTTTCTATGTTTCACTAGCTGTATGTTTAAAGGACATACAATAGCATATGTATGCAAACGTTTGCCAATTCAACGATTGCCACCATTAAGATTTGAGTTCAGAATTATTTCAATATAATTATTGGGAAATTGTGATTTTTAGCATGTAAAGATTACCATTTAAATCTTCAGCATTTTAAAGATTACCTGTTTAAAAAAAAAAGACAGCAAAACAACAAATACTTTATCAATTGCTGTACCTTGTTAGAATCCTTGGTCACACGGAGCCATATTCCGACTCCAAGTAAGATACAGCCACTTATCTGAAAGAAAGAATTCAAAAACACTTTCATGTACACAGTACTGACTTACTTTTTTTTGGTGATTCAAAGTGGATCACACAACAGTTCACTTGTAGTTCATGAGATGACTGAGGCATCCAATGCTCAAACAATAATTAACATTAACATATTTAGTTATACATCACTTCATAATATTTAGGTTTTCCCCTCATAGAATAAAATGTTTGGGGAAAACACTTGGCAGACTTTGAAAACAAAAATATAATCATGTATAGTTATATACCATGCAAAATATAGTAAATACAGTGAAACCTATTTCAAACCTATTTTAACAAAAATCACAATCAACAGTTATACTGCAAGTAAAATTAAACTTCTTGTTTTAGTAGGTACACTGATATTTTATTTAATAGACTTGGCATAGACAAATTTATTACATTGATGAACATTGGGGTCTTCTGTGAAGGTCACCATCTTTTAGTGTGTGACCACCACTGGAAGGAATACAAGCTGTCCAACAGCAGTGCATGCTTTACACCAGATTGTAGATGCTGCTTTGCAGGATTCTGTCCCATTATTCTTGTAGAGTCTGGACAGGTATGCATCCGTTTACTGGTCTCTGAGCCATACTGTAGGTGCCAAATGTTCTCATTGCTCATCTTACACATGTTCAATGGGGTTCAAGCCCTGCAAGGACAGTATTAATGGTGTAACTTTCAAGACAGCTAGAGTAACATGAGCTGCATGATGACATGCTCTATCATGGGGAATGTGGTTACATCAGGAGGAGCCCACAGGAAGGGCAGTAACTGAGGTCCCAGGACCAAGTCTCTGTAGTGCCATGCATTCGGAATACCAGCCACTACATGTGGAGCTCAGTAAGCTCTAGATACTCCTTCCCAGGCCATCACGCATCAACTGGTCTGTTGTACACAACTATAAGAGAATCACTCCACACTCACTGACATCTTTCAGGGTGGTCTGTAGTAAACCTTGATTCTTGATTCTTGGGGGGTCTTGATATTGTATATGTGATATACTGATGGCATATACTGTAGGTACCTTTCTGTGATTTTCTTCATTTTCCATAAGCTTGACATTCCACAAGTTAAATCTCCTCACCTGAGCCCAGTAAGCTCTCTCCATAATGAGGTGATTTAATGTTTTTACAAAGAGTGCTTAGTCAATGCCATTCAAGTGCATCACAGTCAGTCATTACTGACAGATTAAAACAGAATGTCCAAAAAAAAAATCTCAATTTCTCATCGTGGATAACATCCCAACACAAACAAGCTGAAATAAAGTGGTAGGTTTCTACTGACAGAGAGGTTTTGGAGCATATATTTACTAAATACTGAGCATCATCACCATTGTAAATAGGAGATTGTTTATCATGTTTTTTAAACCAAAATCTTTATGATGAACTTTAACTACAATAGGTTGTGTCTCTGACTACACTTAATTTACAAGTGTAATTAAAACTACTACTGAACTTTTAACCGTTACTAAGGAAAATGGACAGAAACAACAACAACTGTTGTCCATAATAGTACAATATCTCCATCTAGTGGTAAAATCTTATTTTCACCAAAATACTGTATACTGTTTCTGTGCAAATTAAATCTACTCTATAACACCAATGATTGTATTGGGAGCTAAAATGCTTATTGGTGAGTATACTTGTGCCTCAAGCCTCAGATATTCATTAGACCTTTCCAATCTACTCTCCTTCTTGATGGGTGATGTCAGTTAGTTGGTTTTATACAGTAGTAACACCATGGTCACCGTAGAGCATCACTGCCATTTAATGAGCCTCATTAACATTTAAAATTGAAAACTGGTGAATACTGAAAGCTTGTGTTACAAAAGATGAAATGTGATCTGAGCACCTTCTTCATGCTCACTTTATAATTTATTGTCAACACAGTATGAAGACATGCTTCATAATCACTGCAACAACAATACATTGTGGGTGAACGAAACAATATGCAACATATAACAAGTATCAAGAATAGTATTAAATATTTTATTTTAAAGCACTCTATTCTGTATAATCATGTACAGTACATGTATAAGGAATATTAATTCTGGGTTGTTTAATCCGGTGGAATACCTCTATTGTTTAGGGTAGGAGAAAAGGAAAACAGGTTTCCAATTAGCTGCATTTTAATTCTAAAAAATATAAAAAGGCCTCTTTTGAGCCATGGACTCTAAATACTTCCAGTCTATAGAGCGCACGGCTCAATCAGCCAATCTTTTCCTTCAGAATGGGCTGTCGTAATGGTATTAGTATACAGACAAATTATTGTGAGACCTACTGTACTGTATATCTCTATAAGTTCTTCCAAAAGATCATAAGAAGTTCCTGTGACCCCAGTAGCTTTAACCAATTACTATTTATCAGTGAAAGATGAATGAAGCTCGATCTCTTCACAATAATGTAGTCAGAGGAATCACAGAGCCTACCTTCCATTATTTTAGCCTGCTCACAGGGCACAAAGATCTGTTCATATGGACCGACCAACTGACTTGGATATGAAGGAAATGGCTTTTCAGTTTTTTTACTGCAGACACATTAACCGATATGACTCACTCCCGCCCACACAAGCATTCCTAAACATATTTAACGTTTTTACCAGATCAGATGTCCGTTTTGGCTTCATACTGTAATAAAGTATGAATTATTTACTTATACTTATGTACATATTTCACATATTTAATTTTGTTTAACTTCATACTGTATATTAGCCGGTTTGACACTGGTAAAGTTTACACATATACAGGATCTGGCTTGTTTGTCAAAAGGACCATTATACATTTTCCATTTCACAAATACACTGCCTATTTTCGTTAGGACTGTTTCCATAACTTATAGTAAACTTCCTACAGCAAAAAAAAATTACATGAACACTAAACAAAACCAGTTGCTAAGTTTTATCTGATGTCAGATACTTTTCACAGTTTCTTTCCCTTATTTTGTTAAATTATTTTGCGAATTATTAAGTTGCATTGTCAGAAAAAAATGACTCTTGACAAAACATTACTATAAATACGAGCCCCTGCTCTAGGTGTGACAACTGTGTGAATTGTTCTACATTTTTGCTCAGTTTATGTGAGCCTCACTGATAAGGAGCATCCATCCATTCTCCGAGTGCTTCTACAGGGTTGAGGAGGAGCCAGAGCCTTGCCTGCAAACAACCGGGTAAAGACAAGGTACGCTCTGGACAGGCCATCATAGGGCAGACAGATGCACACACTCACACAAGAGCCAGTTTTCCAAGAATCCAATTAACCTACCAGAGAAAACTGGAGAACCTGGAGGAAACTCACATGAACATGGGGAGACCATACAAAGAGATAGCACTCCAGGAACTGAACCCAACATTCCAGCAATGCGAACCTCTTCACCAACACCCGCCCCCCCGGATAAGGACCACTCTCTCCTACTGTATATCCTACAATGGATTTTCACAGCACAAGGAGGTAAACGGGTCAGGGTTCAGATGATCAGATTTTTAAAACTGAAATGTCTTCCAGTTTTCAAATAACTACTGATCTCCCTAGCACAGTGTGGTATTCTAAGCTCATGAACAGTATGAAGACTAATAACCTGAAATTATGGGAGCACTTAATTACAAAATTGCACCAGCAACCTTTTATTAAACTGATTTTTAAATTCAATACAAAATGGATCATACAGTACGTACTGTATAGTGACAAGTTGAATTTAATACATTTCAATCAGTGTCTCCAAGAAAAAGGATTCATAAATACTTGAGTTATACTGTTTACCTTCACTGTGTGAAATTTTAAGGCTAACCCTTTTTCTTAGGATAAATTCTTACAACAGAACCAAACTATGTTTCTGAAACATTTTATATTCATGTACTATTTTTGGAATATATTTTTAAGACTGGTTTTCCACAACTAATAACAGTCATTATTCCTGGTTCACTACTTCATAGTGAATAAGTCTACGGACATATATTCCCCTGGTATGAAAAGATGATTCTTCAGTATAGATGGATCTTTTAAATCTGGACAATATAGCCTGAAAGGGAAGGCATTACTGATTTGACCCTGTGCTTTACCATTAGCTACACTAACTGTGACTGGGTTTTCCAGACACAGCTCAGGGTTTTGTGTCCTTTAGTTAGTTTGAGATCACCTCGATTTGTCAAGAGATTGTAACTCCCTTGACTGTTTGGTTAACTATGAGCTTACAGTGACAGTAGCAAAAGGTTCACCACTCCTTCAGTCACACAGCACTGCGCAGCTTGAGAATATCACATTACATACTGTATCACTGAGCTAACCTGTTTCTCTGGGCTGGCATGTCAGTGGATTGCCTTGTAGTGTACCTCTACAGTACAGGGCAATGATCAGTCTGGGATTTCAAACTGGGTGGGGATAAGGGAATATACATTTCCAATTCCAATATTTAAACAAAAAGTTATTTAATGCTTTTTCAGTTGCCTGAAAATATGTATTCCTGGAATAGAGAATGTTTCTTCCAGACCTCCAAGATAAGCACAGGACCTTTAAAATAAAGTTTCCTGATCTGCATAAGGTTTACGATTGGTCTTTTCTTTCCCTTCACGAAGACATGATCCATCCATAGGACTCGGAATACCTGAAAAGCAGCATTGTTTCAACATGAGTAATGCATACCTTTACCAACACCACACAAGCTCTGGCAAGATCAACATACTATAGACGGAAAGCAAGGAAAATTACAAGTTGTTTTGGCACATTGAAATGACATGAATTGTCAAAAAAAAAACAGTTTCGACCAGGGTTGATCCTATTCTGGTCCAGAAGGGCCGGCTTTCAAATGCACAGATGTCTGCTATGGCCAGGGTACTTTAAAGCACCTACTGTAGACTACCGTTTGAACACCTTCAACAACCCTCTCCCTCCACACCTGTTTCAATAGATCTGACAAATAAGACACCAGTAGGTGGGGTTTGTCATGTTCTTCCTTTCCTCTTAACAAGGAAAGAACTGGAAAATAAACAGCCACTGTATACCATGAAAACAGTGTGTTGTGCACAGTGCAAGCCTGGATCTCTTTGAGAATTTTCTTCCATGCTGAACTAAAAATAAAAAAGGCAGGTGGTTGTTTTTTTAATCAACCACCTGCCCCTTTCCCCCTGCCAAAAGGAACAAAAGACTTATAGACATAGCAAAAGAACAAGCTGCAGGTGTGGTGTCTTCACTTTTTAATGTTAAAGACAGTAAATTCATCTAGATTTGTTTGCTAACCTTCTAGAGTTAGAAATAAAGTTGTCATTTTTTTTTTACTCAAAGAAACCCTACTATACATTCCTGTGGTTACCATTTCTTATGTCCACCCTGTGTAAAAACAGTATCAGACATTTCAATATTTAACTAACATTTACTACATTTTGCATACTGCATGAAGGTGCTAAAATGAGTACCATTGTTTTTATTTCTAAAGAAGTCGAATCTCCCCCATGAGGGACACGTCTGGACTAATACTTACAGTACTAATAGTTTTTCATCTTGCACCAAATTGTTAACGTCCCAAACTTAATGCCACACCAAATGACTCTTAAAATAACCCACACTAAAAATGATATTCACTTCGAACTGAAACACAGATGGATTTGCATGAGAAATATTAGACTTCACATTTTTTAGTAGAATTACGATGTGAAATGCGAATTTGTTTCAATTAACAGAAATGTTTTTAGGTCTGCTCCGGTGTTAGATTGAGCTACACAAATTCCTGATCAACACGTTTTAAAAATGATCTTTTCAAATTAAGCTGCACTCCCCAGTCCAAAGGACAATTTGAAAACTACTGGTCTGGACTACAGGTTTAGGGAAGATCGAGACCAAGCCATTCGGCAGAGTGCAGAACAGGAGTAAAGTTCCATAATATTTGAGAAAAAAAAACAATTCAGATAATGCACTACTGTAGTTAATAGTGTTACACTTAACAAGAGTACTGTATGTACAGTAGCAAGGGTCTAAACCCATTTTAAGGAGAGGCACTGTATACATCTAATGAAATATTTAGTGAGCCAATATTTTACAAGTTATATGCTGCTATCTCAAATGTATTAAAATGTATGAAAATGACACCACGTTTTTTTTTTATCCTAATGATTTCAGCCCTCGCCCATATTGAAACCAAATATCCTTTTCTGAAAGTTCGAAACCTTGGAGTTATTTTTGAACCAAAAATATGTGAATGGTCAACTTGTGTAGGCGGGAGGGCAGTTTTTTTTTATGAACGGTGTTACCCCATGTCATAGGATTGTGCGATAGAAAGAACATTAACAGAGTAGCTAACTTTCCCTCCACCAACCAGCACCCGCACATCTGAACTCCATTTACTCTTTCCATCCATCCGTATTCTAAACACTTTATTCAGTACAGGGTCGCCGGAAAGCACAGCCTATTCTGGCAAGCTTCACTATTTCCATAACTGCCAAACCTCTAATACTGTAATACACAGCCTTGTATAACACCATGGGTCTGTATAACAAAGTGGTCGATTAAACACGAGTATTCATTTTTCTTTACTTAGCACACTAATCCCCTAATAATTTCCTGCGATTGTGGTATAAGTGGAATAAACCAGTACTGGCCTTGCAGTTCCCACAAAGTGCTGTACCACTGCCATGACTGTGGAAAACCCAGACTGCTGTACAACATATGATGGGAACAGTACGACCAGCAATGCTTTACACATACAGTATACAGGACATACTGTACAAACTGATAACGTTTCCTTTGCCTATTATTTATCACCGTACTAATATTTTCATTTTAAAGCGAGTAAGCCATCATAAATTGGAGAAAACGTCTACAACAATCGAGACATCGAGGGGGAAAAACCCCCAACTTAATGAATTTTGGTTTTATTGACTTTAAGGCAATTAACATAATTACATGGTATGAACAAGAACAAAGCAATAACGATATTAATACGGAACTTGCTATACAATTAAAACACAAAAAGGACTTACCCAAAATAGAAAATTGAACAGGAACAGAGAATACTTGATGAACTTGTTGACTGCCATTTTTTATTTAAAGATATAACACCGTAACACCTACAAACTTTTCAGACGCAGTTTGTTCGGCTGTCGTGTCACGTAAGAAAACCGTGTGATGCTGAGCACAACTGCTTTGTAGCTTGAATGCAAGAGGGTGTGGGGCAATGCGGAGTATTTAAACTACTTCCTGGAAAGGTGAAGCGCAGACAGGTGTTCCCGAGAGGTGCGCAGTAATGAAATAATGAAATAATGACAATAATCGAATGCTGCTTTCCGGAGACCATTTTAAAAATCCCTTTAACTTTGCTAACCATTCTTAAAAAAAAAGAATCTTTTAAATAAGGTGACATTTAATTGATCTAGGCGTGCAAATTCCAATTATTTTTAGCAAGTTGAAGAACATTTTAAAACAGGCATTAAATGCGATTGTACGACTCACAAGGTATAGTCATGAGAATCCGTAGACTTTTCAAATTAAAATAAATAAGTCCTTTTATTTTTTTAGTTCCAGTCATTTTTTGCTTGTAAAAATTACTTTTACTGACAATGTGCATCGTACATCTTGCTGTAGTTAGAATAGTAACATTTTAAGCAACTTACAGTAAAATAAATACAATAAAAAATACATACCATTTTAGCTATAATATATATTTCCTATAAATGGAAAAAGGGTCTTCAAGCCCTGGGTATTTCGCTTGTATAAAGTACTATCAATATAATCTCAGTAATTGTAGCATGCTTAATAATTGAACAGAAATATTTAATCAAACTTCTAATTCCGCATTAATTTTATCACCTCATTGTTATTTCGTTAAGTCTCCTAAAAAGGCTCCCGCAACAGAAGTGGTCGATTTTCTTTTTTCAACCACATAAGAATGTCTAGAAGCGAGAAGAGGCCATTCAGCGTTGACGGAAGCGAACAGACTCAAAGATTCCATTGAAAAACAAAGCGGGATAGTAAGAAAATAATACAAACAGAATCTTAGGATACATTTAAAGATTGTAAATAGAATGATTTTAAGAATAAAAACAAAAAAAAATGTGGAACCAGCTATAGTTCTAGACTAAAAGGAATATCCAAGACCAACAGGTGAAAAGAACGTAATCTTTTTTAGTCTTTGAACGGAAATTGCTATAAGGCAAACTCATTCATTTATTCACAATAATCTGCTAAAAGCCCTGGCCTTCCTTTAAACCATCATATTAAGCGTTGTAGATTTTTTCAGTCTCCGTTTATTAAAAACAATACAACAACACCGTGCACACCTTTTTATACCACACCAATTAGCCGTCATGTAAGTTTGCAATTTCCATTCAATCACTCATCTAACGATACAATAACTGCCACCTTAGTGAGTCTGTTTATAGAAATCCGAGACCCTTAAGCACGCTCTAGTGGCAGTTAGGCTGTTATTGCAGTTCCTTCTTAGGGACAGTATACTCGTATCCTTTCGGTTTACAAAAGCAGGTAATGCGAAGTATAAACATTTCTCCAGAAATGCTGTGTGTAGTAACTTTACCATGGGGTGCATTCTTAAATGCACACTTTATTGTATCATTTTAATAGATGGAAGGTTGCCTGGGGTTAGAGCTTGATGACCAGGATGAGGAAGCACTCCACCACCCTGCAGCCTGTATATACTGTACTATACACATCTGTAAGTGTTGAAGGGGTCCAGGGTAAAGAGCTCATCCAGGGTGCTTGCAACCAAGTGACCAAAATGCACTAAGGTAAATATCCTAAATGCTCCTGATGGATAGGATATTTACCTTTTTGTCACATGTATTATTATTATAATAATATATGTGGACTTCCCTATCTTTCTTACACCGGAAGAAGGCTCCACAGCTGAAACGTTGTGTTTTCTTTCTTCTCTTCTCAGCATGGAATAAACCTCTTGTTGTTGTTGTTGTTGTTGTTGTTGTTGTTGTTAATAATAATAAATGCCTTTACAAAAACACAAAAATATGGTCCATTATTGACATTATTTACATGTACAGTATGTAACTAGACCTAGCCTCCCCAATAAAAGTATTGCAAAAGCAACTAAAAGAGACAAATTCAACATAAGGAAGGAAATGCAGTGCTTATACAATAAAACACACAATGCAGGACACAACTGGTCTCCATGCTGTTACTAAACTGAAGCAGCCCTACACTAAATGCATCAAAACACCACAGAATGGTTTCTTTTGCCTGGTGTATACCACAAAAAGGAAATAAGTATTTCCAAATTTAAACTCAGTCTCTATGGACATCAATTACTGGTGCATTTTTGTCTTTCAAGGAGACAAAACGTTGGTGGTCTGGCCTGAAAGAGCTAGCAGCCACACACTGAGATGCTGAGGTAGAAAAAGCTATGATGGCCAAATCTCTGATATACTGAGCTAGTCCCTGGCCTAGATCAATCATTTGCTTCTTAGACTGCAATTTCATTACTGTATGAGAGCATCTTTCATACAAGAATTTACTTATTTGTACCACCGACTCAAACAAGCACTTGGGTTTTGTTAATGTGGGTTACTACTGTATATCACCACATCACAGCTCTGCGCTGTCTTAAACTGAATTGTGATCAGAAAGTTCAGAATCCATACAATAAACAAAATCTTCCTCAGTAACCCCCTGGCAGATGATCATTTTCAGTGCCTTACTTTGCATAATTTGTAAAGCACTTTGAATTTAAAAGTTGTAGATTATTTGCAGGCTGCAGTCATTTTAAGATGTTAAATGTTTTGTTAATGTTTACACTTAAGTAAAGAAGACAGAGGAACTGCCATAATGGTACTACTATAATGTATAAAACACGCCTTCATGCAGAAATATGGTACAGTTCAGATGCAAAACCTAGCTTTTGTGTATGTTTCAATTTGGAAAGACTATGGGTCTTTTCCTCTAAGATTAAAAATAATCTCAAAATGACTCAGTATGATCACACACTGTCACAATTTATATATCAATCAGGGCAACAGATGAATAAAAATGGAAATTCTCTTGTCTGATTTTCATACTACCACCAAGCACTCTGCAGGCTATTAAGCTATTATTTTACACCATAAGTGAATCAAGGTAGAGGGAAAAAGCAAACTACTGTAATACTTAGGAGCTGAAATAAACAGAAGGCTAAATTCAGCAACAAGGACAGTCCCATGCAGGTTCAGTAGACCAAATAAATCAATTATAAAGTTCTAAAATGGTTGAATTATTTTTTCTGCAGACAGAGTTCAATCTTTTAATGGTTTGCTGTTAGTATCATGACAATTTTTCCAGCAGAAAACACTAATACATCATAGCTACTGTAACTAATTGCTGTCAACATTATATGTATTTTTATGTATCACATCTCTTTCCTATTAAAAATATAAAGTGTTAAGGTTTGTCTACGCAATAAGCAAAGGAAACAACCACAGTTAGGGCCACTGATGTCTAGTGATTTGAACAGTCAAGGCATCAGGTAGGGTGGCACAATAGCACAGTAGTTAACATTGCTGTCCTGCAGTGCTGAGGCCATGGGCTCAGTTCCTGCTATCTGCATGGAGTTTATGTCTGCCCTTGATTGTGTGAGTTACCTCCAGGTGGTCCTGTTGCCTCCCACAGACCAAAGATGCACTGGTAGGTTAATTGGGTTGTCTTAACTGGCCCTGGTGTGAGTGTGTGTCTGTTTTTATGTGTGCCCTGTGAGGGATATAAAGTGTGTATCCCAACATGCACCCGTTGCATGCCAGGATGGGCTATGGCACACCCTGCTATCCTGTACTGGATAAAGCAGTAAGAAAATGGATGGATAGGAGGTACCAATTGGAACAAACGTCTCTCAAGTGCTTGAGGAAGAGCTGTCCAAAGGTGAAGCAAGGCCTACAAAAGCTCTGGTGTGTGCTTGAGCACACTGCTATCAAACATCATGATTCAACTTGTCCCACAACTTGTCTAGTTGCGCTAACATGGGAAGAACAGGTTACAAGATGCTGTCCACATAGTGTTGAATGTCATTACCCTGCACATCAAGTTTTAAACAGCAATGAGCGTTAATCTCACTTTTCCTCTAACAGTGCAATCAAGATTAACAACATTTTCAAAGCTTAATTTTCCGTCATTTTCAATTAGTTAGTCTCTTTGGCACTGAAACATCAGAGAGAGTGTGAGGTTTTAGTCATGACAAGACCAACAATACTGTAAACATCAGTCCTGTTTCCAGTCCCAAAATGGTTATGAAGCAACTGTCTTGTTTTGGTGACACGTACCAAGATGTGGACAATCAGTAGCACTGCCAGGTATCCTAACATGGCTCTAATTAAAGAGAAATTGTTGTTGGGTGATATTTAAAAAACATACAATCAGTTACTGTTGTGGCTTTCCAGCATTCAACATTAAAATGCCCTTTTTCTCTGAACAATTGTCTGTTGTGGCATCTTGCAGATGTGTGGTAGACGTCAACGGTGTATTGTTTTTATAAGGATGTGGAATGCACAGTCACAATTGTGATTATGTATTGTGACATCCTCTCACCAAATGACAGTTCATGCACTCTTGGCATTTGTTAAACACCTTGGAGAAGGGAGGGTGGAACAACGAAGAATTGGTCAACCAATGAAGAACTGACTTCACAGGGCGTGGTGTCAATGTGATGAAGGACAAAGAGCAGACTCAGTGGGCGGCCAGCCTTGGTCCCACAGCAGACCAGGGCCAACAAGCTCTCTTCTCCACACAAGGAGCAAAAAGTAAATTAATCCGCCCCTGGTTTGTCGTTATTCAGGCCAAAATAAGGAATCTACCAAGGAAAAAAACAGAAAAATTCCTTAATTCATCAAGAAGCACGGCTCTGGAGACGTCAAACCTCCTGTCTAGACGCAAGAATGTCATTTGGCAGTATGGCCTCCAGGAACTAGAAAATAGAAATAGAAAATAGTAGAAAAATTTGGATCTCGCAAATTTGAATGTACTGTAGATGACCTGAAACCTGTTTACACAACTCTGACAAAATCATTTTCCAAACACCAAAACATACTCTAAGCATTTTTTTGTCATTCAGACTGGCAACAAAAAAAAAACTGAATGAAAGGCTTTTTTTGAATGACTTCCCTCAGGAAGATGTGATTGTTTTTTTTTCTTACTGTATACAGTATGTACTGTAGTAAAAGAGCTAATGTCTATTTTAGAGAAAACT